CACGAAGGGATTCCATCTCACATTTCATAGCACTAACCCATTTTTCAGAACATTTAGATTCTAATGCTTCACGATAAGTCTTAGGTTCATCACACTCAAGGGATTCAAACACATGAAAAGCAAACTCAGACATATTACAGTCATCAACATATCTCGCAGGTTTGCTAATGGTTCTTCTATTTCTATCCCTAGCAAGTTGATAGTCATGCAAATCATTTTCAACATGTGATTTTACACTATCATGCTCCACCTCATTAGAAATAGTCTGATCTTCATTAGTGTGTGAATCAACATGTTCATTAGTTTCTACATGCAAATCAGTAGGAATGATAACAGGCAATTGCTCCACCTCATTTGGAGCCACATTTTCAACATTGGGAATAGGCAAGGACAAACAAGGAAAATTATTTTCATTGAAAACAACATTTCTACTTATCACAATTTTGAAACCTGGTTCGCCTTTTACCCACAACCTATAACCCTTTACCCCGTCAGGATACCCCAAGAAAACACATAGTTTAGATCTTGGTTCAAGTTTATCATTCATTTGATGCACATAACCAGGACAACCAAACACACGGAGGTTTGATAAATCTAGGGGTTTACCCGAGAAAGCAACTTCTAGGCAATTCCCTCCTAAAGGTATAGATGGAGACCTATTAATCAAATAAGCAGCAGTGCAAACAGCTTCACCCCAAAATTTTTTAGAAAGTCCAGAAGTAGCTAACATAGCCCTCACCCTCTCTAAAAGAGTTCTGTTCATCCTCTCAGCAATCCCATTTTGTTGAGGCGTGTAAGGAACAGTTTTGTGTCTTTTAATACCCCAAGTAACACACAAAGTATCAAGTTGTTTGTTGCAAAATTCAAGGCCATTATCTGTCCTAAGTGTTTTTATTTTCTTTCCAGTTTGGTTCTCAGTCAAAACTTTCCAGTTTTTAAATTTATCAAAAACTTCAGATTTTTGTTTCAAAAGTAGGACCCAAACTTTCCTAGAATAATCATCAATTATGGAAAGAAAATATTGGTTCCCTCTGTGAGTTGAAACACTTGCGGGACCCCACACATCAGCATGCAAATATTCAAGCACATCAGAACACTTAGTTCGAGTAATGGGATTTGGATTAGGAAAACTAACGCGGGTTTGTTTTCCAAGCACACAAGATTCACAAAAGGGAACATGCATAAGCTTATCACTACCCAAGTGTTCATTTTTATGCAATATTTCAAGTCCTTTATTACTCACGTGACCCAACCGTTTATGCCATAGAACAGAATTATCAACCACAGAATTTGCATGCTCACAAACAGGTTCAGCTTTGAACACATACAAATTATTTTTCTTTTCAGCTTTGAAAACAACGATTGAACCCTTCATGACCTTCATAACACCTTTTCCCCATTTTCCCTCAAAACCCTCATTTTCAAGAGATGCACAAGAAAGCAAATTATAGGACAAATCAGGCACATGTCTAACATTCTTTAAGTTCACAATAGATCCAGAGTCAAATTTAAGACACATATCTCCAATTCCAAAAACTTTGCATTTCTTTTCATTAGCCATGGATACAATACCATTATCAATCTCTTGATAGTTTGAAAAAAGGTTTTTAAATGGTGACATATGAAAGGTGCAACCAGAATCAACTAGCCAATCAGATTCACACAGATAATCCTGTAACACCCTAATCCGTATAACCCAGAATTACACGAATTACGGTGAAACGAGAGTTAAATAAAAATTTCTCTTGACATTTGAAAATGACAATTACTTATAAATGTTAAATTTACAGACTCTGGATCGCGACTCATTTAAAAATATTTTCAGAGTAATGCGGAAGTACAATAATAATCAAATCATGACACATTTTAAAATCTGATGATCAAACATTTGCCTGCCATCCTTGCATCTCCTCTGACTCAATGCCCTCCGGGAATGGTTCCATCATTGTCTTCTTGTTACCTACGTGTAGTCAATGAAAAATACAAACTACACGCTCAGTGAAACCGCTGAGTGGTACCACGCTAGAATTGTAGAATGATTCACAGACGTATACATATACATATATATACGTCCACAAATGTATAATAATATTCATGAAATGGCACATTGTATCATATGGTCAATTTGATGATTCATGATGATAAATATTTAAGGATAATTACATGATAGCACATTTAATCAATTTGCTTGTGAGGATGATTACATGATACTTATGTAATCAATTTACTTGTTCTTGATGATGATTACATGACACCTATGTAATCGATGTACTTGATGATGATAACATGATGCATGATTCTAAGTCGCAAGGACGAGCCTTGAGCTATGAGATTCGCCCATTTGGTACGACGAACTCACGCATAAATAGGGGTGGTACTCGAAAACCTAAGTACCATGTACATACACTAAGCCCGGTCGGTGATGTCGGACTGCTAAGTCCCGCACAATCACAGCTATAAGAGACGCAATTACGCATGATCTCTTACACATGCATATGTTGTGATATGGCTATAAGAGACGCAATTACGCATGATCTCTTACGCATGCACATGTTGTGATATGCTCAATATAAATGATGAAATGAATGACATGATATGAACAATTTGCAAACAATATGAATATATAATCATGCATTAGTTTATTTGGATCAAACATGATTAAAATATCATTTAAATAAGTTACGGGGCTTGGAACGGTTGACCGTTTGGCGGGACGGTCGACCTTGATCTTCAGCAGGTCGGATTTGGCGGATCACCGTGACGGTCGACCGTGGTTGACAGGCGGTCGACCGTTGTTGACTGGCTGTGGATGGTGGACTTCGGCTGGACGGGCGGCGGTCGACCGTCAGCCACCGGCGGTCGACCGTTTTGCTGACAGTCGTGGTCCGTTTCAAAGTTTAATACGACGGTCAACCGTTTGCGTCGACCGTTTGGGTCTGCGAATCTATCTCTTGATATTTTGAGTGTCCAAAAATACTTCTTTAAGTCTTTTAAACACCTTTGATTAATATATACATATTTTTGGGTTGATTTCAAATGTTTATATATACTTATGTATATATATATATATATATATATATTAACTTTATGATTTTGGTGTATTATGGTCTTAGCACAAAGATGACTTATATATGCGTCACATATATATTTTGGAATGATTTCAACAATTGGATTAACATATATGTTCATGTACGCATGTGATGAATGATTCGACAAGTCTAACGCAAAGGTACAGACCTGGAAATCATTGGCCGAAACCTTACGGATGAGAGGGAGTGGAAACAACATTGAAATTTGCCAATTTTGTCATTTCCATCACAACTGGACAGCCTGCGGTATTTTGGGCATATCTCCATCGTTTCTTCACGGAATTGCAAACCGTTTGATTCTTAGATTCCTAAGATGTAAGGCTATTACTTTTGTATAGAAAGTATTTCGATTTAACAGATGTAAGATAGCGTAAATCAGACCTGAAGTCAAGGGAAAGTTGCTGTCCAGAATTTCGGCTATGTCGATGAACACGATTCCGACGATTAACTCACTAATTTCAACATTCCAACGCCGAACCCTCTCTACGATACCTTCCGGATGTTCCTAATAATTGTTAGAGAGTTTATGGTAGGTATTTGGAATGAAATAATATGAATTTGGTGAAGAACAGATATGCCAACCCGAGGAGCTCGCCACCACTGGCGCAGTCCCGATATTTTGGCCATATCTTCTTTGTTACTTAACGAAATCGTGAGCCGTTTGTTGGGCTGGAATCGTATTGTTCGGGGCTACAACTTTGGTTCAGAAAGTATTTCGAGATAATGGATGGAAAATTACAGAACTTACGTAGAAGTTGATGCTGCGTTTGGAACTCATGATTTGGAAACTATGTAGGATAGGAGGTTTGGGGTGACTTTGTGAAGATTGAGGTGGCTAGTGGAGATCATGGGCTGAATACGTGATTGAGTAGGGATTTTAAAATATTCTCCTACTCCGTAACTGATAAACTGACTACAACGGTACGCGCTTTTTCGCCAAAACTGCTCCGAATTGAAAACGGGTTGTATTTTCGGAATCAGACTGTCAAAACTAGAATTTTGACGTAATCAAAATATTTTTCTGAGAAATTTTATTTTTCTCAGTGTCCGGGTGAGTCATAAATTAATTTAAGAATATGAATGAGATATAAACATATGGATTAAATCCAAATGATAAATATGGTGTTGTCAAGTGTCAAAATTATGAATTCTAATTTTATGAAATCACTTTTGAATTGAGTTTATTTTTATGGGTCAAAGTTACAAATTTTAATATTTAAAATTGACATAACTTGAAATCTATAAATCAGATTGGTTCATAAAATGTACCGTTGGATTCGTCTCTTCGAGACATATCCATAAAAATAACTTTTTAACAAAAAGTCATTATTATGAAAATCCATTTATTTTTGGTCAAACGTATAAATATTTCTTATTGGACAAAAATTACTTTTGTTTTATAATAAATTTTTGGCCATATTTTGTGGCGTTACAAATCCGATAGCACAGAGTTCAAATAAGCATAATCTTTGATCATTAACACATCACCAAAGTTGTTTGATTCAGTAGCCATATTAACATGATCTTTTTGCTGAATTTTCTTAGGCTTAGAACAACTATTACTAAGGTGACCATATTCATTGCAATTATAACATTTTCTTGTTTTAGACTTGGATCTAGACTTACCCCTTCTCTGGTTGAATTTTCTCACATTTGAGTTATCATTGTTAGCATGTTTATGGTTTTGAAACTTATTCAAAGTTCTACCCCTCACATGCATAACCTCCCCAGAATTTTTATCACTCTTAGAATTTTTCAACTCTAATTNTTGCTGAATTTTCTTAGGCTTAGAACAACTATTACTAAGGTGACCATATTCATTGCAATTATAACATTTTCTTGTTTTAGACTTGGATCTAGACTTACCCCTTCTCTGGTTGAATTTTCTCACATTTGAGTTATCATTGTTAGCATGTTTATGGTTTTGAAACTTATTCAAAGTTCTACCCCTCACATGCATAACCTCCCCAGAATTTTTATCACTCTTAGAATTTTTCAACTCTAATTCCTTACTCTTGAGACCATTCACAACAACATCAAGAGAAATTTTATCCCTACCATACTTAATTGCAGATTTAACATCACTGTAGGAATCAGGAATAGCATTCAAAAGAGCAATAGGGGTGTAGTCATCAATATGTTTATCACCGGTTAATTTAATATCAGAAATCAGTTTGGTGAAAACATCTAGATTTTCTTCTATGTCCTTAGACATATCCAATCTAAACTTGAAAAATTTTTCAAGTAAGAAAATCTTATTTGGCAAAGAAGTTTCAGTATAAAGTTCATCAAGTTTATTCCAAAGATCTTTAGCACATTCCAAAATACCAACTTTTCTGATCACACAGTGAGTTAAGTTTAAGTAGATTATGGAACAAGCAATTTCATTCATTTCAACTCTTTTCTCTTTAGCGTCTGTTTCTAGATATGAATCACTAACAGCCCTATAAACTTTTTGATGAACAAGAACACACTTCAATTTTTGTTTCCAAATACTAAAATCAATTTTTCCATTAAAAGGAGTCAAAGCATACTGATTCATAGTAGTCATATCCACACAGGAGAAAAATAATCAAAAAATCACCACAAAGGAGGAAAAAAACCCACAAAAGAGAATAAAAACTGAAAAAATCAGCAACACAGATGCACGTAGAATATGGCCTAAATTTTCATAATTTGGCTCACGTGTGTGAAGCAATTGCACGAACAACCCAAGATTATTATGTTAGCAAAATTGCTCACTCAATCCCGTTGTTCTTTCACACGAGCACAAACTAGTGGAATTAGGCAATTGGAAATAATGCAGCGGAATTAAACAACCCTAAAAATGCTACGAAAGCAAAGGGATAAAGAGTTGTGTACCTGGGCGAATCTAATGCCTAGATTCGACTTACCAACTCCATGGAAGAATTTTGGCAGCAATTCGGTTCTGGCAGCTGGGATACGTCGGAGCTTCGAATTCCTTCAACGGAGTTCTGCCTTCAATCGCACGAAGCAATTGGTGCGAGTCCGGCTCTGCCACTCGTCCTGCCGCTGAGGTTCTGCGCTCGCCGGAGCACGTCAGGGTCTGCTTCGTGAAGCTCTCTCGCCGGTCGCCTGCCGTATTCCGTCTCAGGACGCTGGCGATGATTGCACGAAGATAGATCCCAGGTCCGAAGTCACACTCTTCCGTCTCTGACCGAGACGAATTGACGAAAAAACGACGGGAAAAAGGAAGGACGCCCAAGATGTCAGACCACCGTCCCTCTCTTTTGAAAAACAACCCACTGGACCCTCTCTTTTTTTTTAAAAAAAAAATGATGCCCACTAACAAAAGGAACGGAGAAGAACAGAGGTGAACACACAAAAAGGGAAAAAGAAACCCACACGGAAGTCTCACAAAGAGGTGGGAGGAAGGATTTTTTTTGCACGGTAAAACAACTCAAGGTAGCCCTTCAATATATAGTGAATATTAGGGTGATAATTAAGGCAAGCTTAATTAAATTAAGGAGTAAAGGTTGGGCTTGAGTAAATGGGCCGCTGGGTTAGGTGTCAAATATTATTAATATGTTTGGGCCAACCCAAATAAATTAACATATATGTATTTGTCTAATTTAATTTAAAAGAATTTGATCTAATTAAAGTTTATTTGATTTAATTAAATCTGAGTTAGCCTTATCTAATCTAATTTTAACAGAAATAAGTACTCCCTCTGTCCCAAATTATAATGCATGTCCACTATTCACAGGGTCAAACTTCATTTACTTTCTTTTTTTATTTTTGTTAGCAATTTGATAAAATAAAGTATTATTGTCACTACTAGTTTTGTAGATCTTTTGATTTAGTATTTTAATATGTAATTTTTTTAACTATATACCATTTGTCATATATAATAATTTGAAAATAATTTTAGTCAAACATCGTAATCTATAACAGGCATTATAAAATGAAACGAAGGGAGTAATAAATTTAAAAATTAAGTTGAACTAAACTTGAAAAATCCCCTCTATTGTTGAAATTTAGAGGCACTCCTGGAGTTCCGGAATCAGACTGAAACGACACCCGTCTGTCGGTAGAACTTTTCTGACTCGTAAATAAATAAATATGGTTATTTCAAAATGTCGAAAACCTTTTATCCAACGCAGCAGCAGCGAAAAAAAAACAAACCTTTCCTCTTTCCACAATGTCTTACTACCCCAAAGGCCATCATACCGGCGACGACGCCGTCGACGACTTCGATGAGTATGATCCGACTCCCTACGACGGTGGATACGACATTACCGTGGCATACGGCCGTCCGATTCCGCCATCGGAGGAGACCTGCTATCCCATCTCCTCCTCCTCCGGCGGCTTTGACTATGAGCGTCCTCATTATGCCTCCTCTGCTGAACCATCTGCCTATGCCGACGAGGCTCTTGATAACGAGTACAAGAGCTATGCCCGACCCAAGCCCCGACCCACCCCTTCTTCTTATGGAGGCTCATCCGAGGCCGGGTATGGCGGATCTGACAATCCCCGCCCTAGCTATGGATTCCAATCTGGAATAAATCTCCCCGTTGTTGGATCTGAGTTCGGAGAGGGCGGATTCGGATCTGAAGGCGGGTATGGCCGCAAGCCGGAGTACGAGAGACCCCCTTCTGAATATGGATCGGGCGGATTCGGATCCGAAGGCGGGTATGGCCGCAAGCCAGAGTACGAGAGACCCGCTTCTGAATATGGATCGGGGTATGGTAGGGATAGCGCGCGCGAACGTCCCGGTACTGAATATGGTTCAGGTTATGGCCGGAAGAGCGAGTACGAACCGCCAAACTCTGAATACGAATCTGGGTATGGCCGTAAGGCCGAATATGATAATCCTTCTTCTGAATATGGAGCTGGTCATGGACGCCGGCATGAAGATAAAAATCCCAGCTCAAATTACGGATCTGGCTCGGAATATGGATCAACCTATGGGCGCCGTCCCGAATCTGAGTATGAAATGAAGAGTGAGTATGAGCAGCCTGGTTCTGAATATGAATCGGGCAGTTATGGTAGGAAACCAAGCTACGGGCAGGAGGAGAACAGCGGGTATGGGTATGGGGGAGGAAGGACTGGGCAGGAGAGAGTTGGCTATGGTGAAGAAAAGCCCAGCTATGGTCGTTCAAGCTATAAGAATGATGAGATTGAAGGCCATGGGCGATCAACTTATGATAGGCCGAGCTATAAAAGGTCCGAGGAGGAGGAGGACGACTACAAGAAGCCTAGCTACCAGAGGCATGATGATGATGATGATGATGATGAAGGCTATGGTCGCAAGAAATATGTGAGCATTTCCATAGCCCTTTCTCAATTTATGCGAGTTATGTCACGGATAAGCATAGTTACTTTAAATTTGCATTTTCACCCCCTTTTATAATGGGTGAAACAATGTCTCAACATATAGTGTGTAGATGACTTGTTGAATGTGTTATGTGGTATGTGCCTTCCAGACTTTAGCTAGGAAGATTATCTTTTCCCAAAGAATGATCATGTCATGAACAAGTATAGTTGCATTAGTTCCATTTCAATTTAGAACTACTTAATTAATATATATTCCTGCAGCATTGAATCTTATACAATGTGAATTGCTTCTTAGCTCCTAGATTATGACTAGACTTTAAAATAAAAATGGCAGGGTGATGATGACTCAAACGATGAGGATAGCCACAAGCATCGCCATCGCCACCATCGCAAGCACTATGACGATTAAACATAACTCGCGTCTTGCCATGCGTCCACAATAATGTGGTTGTTCTTGCCATGTTATTAAAACTACCAAGTACTAAATAAAGTGTGTTCTACGTTTCCCTCGTCATGTGTCATAAGATCAGTTTCCTTGCAGCAGGTCAGTCATTTGGCTGTCCCTTGTTTGTGCTTAGAATTTTGTAATAAAGCCCCCGAATATTTGGGATGGTTTTTTTCGAAGTCACTATTTCTTGTGGCTGGATATGTAGTGTGTGAAACGAACTTCTTTGTGTTTTTCAATGTTATATGGTATGCTTGTTGCTTACATTGATGTTTCATTTCTCATACGTGACTTCAATTATTGCGAGGTTTGTCATATTCGGCGTATGACTGCGTGGTTTTGGTTGATGCTCTTCATATTATCTCTATGTCCCGATTTCAATGAACACATTTTTAATATGAACAAAAATCTGTTTGATAAAATTTTAAAAACTTTAGAGCCAAGATCTATTTTATAGATAAAAACATGTCACATTAGTCCCTAATAAACTATTCCAAAGGTTGAAGACAAAACATCACGGACTTGGAGTGACTGGGCATCCACACAAACTCTTTGGAAAAGTTTCAAATGAAAAAAACTTGCAGCAAAAACAGTTTGAACAAGAATAAATCTTGGGGTCGGCTTTTCACTGCTAGTAAGTCATTCAAACATAATCTCGACAATGGTATTCTTTATGCCCGGCACCAGTTTTCTGGCGTCCGTAACCTTAAAATTCTTGCGCACTTTTAATAAAAAATGCTGAGGATAGGTTTCAAAATCGTGACCTTTCTGTTGCAATTCTAATGCATAAAAAATGGGAGACGAATGGTCTTAATTCTGCAAGTAAAACCAACATGGGGCTTCAATTGAAGAACATAACCTGTAAGAAGAAAAATATTTGGTTTGAAAACATGTGATCTGGAGTTAAGTTCTAAAAGTAATTATTTAAAACCTATTCAAAATTGGTTTCAAAACTGGAATCAAGATACATATACACGTCTCTGTCAAAACACATATTCAAAAGCATATTCACACTATCAAGAGCTCAGATTTCAAAATTTCGAAGTTACAAAAATAAAAAAAAACATATTTTCTATTAGTCCTAATTCAGATGTATGTTCAAATTTTCTAATTTGCACCCCATGTGCGCAATCTTGATACAGAAGGGCTCTTAAATCACCCCTTCTTCGCATTCGGGTTATTCCGAGAAAATCCAACATCAGAAAGAAATCTTGATAAAAATCCTTCAGATTTGTTTTTACCACTGGAACTGCTCAAATTGCAGATTAGAGCCCAGTGGGTGTTGAAGTCAGGCTCATACCCATCTTGCTGCATTCTGTGTAAAACCTGGGATGCCTTGATCGAATTGTTCTCAAAGCGATACCCATTAATCACAGCGGAATACATTTCCCTGGTTGGGGTCTCGCCCATCTGAACCATTGTGTCAAGCAATGTTTCTGCCTCTGCAACTCGCCGTCCCCTGCACAAGCATTGGACAAGTGCACTCCAAGTGTTTTTGTTTGCTGTATGGCTTCTGCATAGCATTTCAGCATGAAAGTCCAGAGCTTGATCCAAGAGGTCATGACAACAAAAACTCT